CGGCGAAGTGCAATGGAGTATGAATCAACGAATACCGGATCAGAATTTTTGAATGGTAAAGCCACTGTATATCTACCAGATATATCACGAGCATAATTTGAGCTGAAATTCTGTTCACATAATAAACTTCAGGAGATGCCTTGACCATTTGAGGTATTTCATCAAGTTGCCCATAATAATCCAACCAAATATAGTCTTAAAGGCGAAAGGTTCGTCGTGATTACCATTGATGCGACCATCTTCTAATATTTGGGAAAATATGTCAACGCCCAAGAGCATATCGATATTACCGGTGATGTTGAAACTCGGATCTGCTAGATCTATGTTATGAAGGTTTTTCCACTTTTCCACAACAATAGGGACGTTTGGCATGTCGAAACAAACTTTGGGTATTACTAAAGCATCAATGTTAAATACTGGAGAAACTTGACCACGAGGTCGAATTTGATATTCCACTGAATTAGAAGCTCATTGATTTTTGTGAAGAGTGCGTATTAGAATTAGAAATACATTTTTGAGAAGATAAAGCCACTGATTCAAGAGCTGTACACTGTTTCAATAAAAAGTCATATAAAATTCTGTAAGATGGAATATTATTACAATTTTCTTGTAATTCAAAACGCTTAACTGAAGCAGCATCTAATTTTTGTATCAATAACTGAAATAATATAAAGGTCCCAACTATCTACAGGCAAATTAAAATTTTTAAGTGATGCTAAGTTTTCTTGAAAAGTGTCTAATAATTTTCTTAGAGCTTGAGGCGATTCAGAGTTTAATTTAGGTGCATTAAATATTTCTTGCCAACATGCACTCGCAAGAATTTTTTTATTCTGGTAACGATCTGTTAACATATTATATGCAATTATATAATTATCATTTCATTAGATAACTGTAAAAAATTGAAATTTGATTATTTCATTTTGGGTTTTAGGCCATGCAGAACTTTCTATCCAGAATAACTTTTTTTCATAAAGCCAATAATAAAAAAGTATCCCATATGGTGCCGACTTAATTGGACGCACTGTATATAAAAATAAATAAACTCCAGAATTAAACGCCTATAAATGTAGGACATTCATTATTTAATACCTACAAATCGTGAGTGAAAGTGAAAGCATATCTAGCAAAAAAATAAATGCTAAATTATTTCAAAATTAATCCTATATTGTGTGTTATTGATATTTATAACAAATAAAGAGCATTCATTTGTTCAAGTTCTAAACAAAATTGTGACGTAATGAAAAATAACGCAACCCCACAAAAAAAAGTGGGAGCTCCGAAAGACCATATACCTACACATATATTTTTGGGGTTACTGAATACGAATCCGGTGTCCGTTTGACCCGATTTGGTCTGGTTTAAGATCAGTTCAAGGTCAAATATAAAGAATCAATTGCCAACAAAGTAAACTTACATATCTCTACGTTTTTGGGGTCGCTGAATTCAAATTCGGTGTCCGCTTGATCTGGTCAGGTCTGCTAAATACTTTCAAGTTCTAAATTCAAAACACTCAAGCATTTATGCATATTCAAATTTGATTCAAATAAGATTAAAGAAAGAAAGCGTAACTCTAAGCAAGCCCGTGACTAGCATTAATTGTTTTGATATGAAAAAATTCTGGTATCATCATGTTTTATGTACACAGTGAGTCGGTATCGACTGATATTCTATGTATAAGTTTATTTTGTTTATTTATTTATTTATTTGACCTTAAACTGACCTTAACCCAGACCAGGGACCTGTTTTTTGTAAGTACTTTTCACCTTTCCACTCCTTACTTTTTAGTTTTCTGGCTATTTCCTGTTTTCAAAATTAATATTCAAAAAACAGTTGGTAATCTGCACAGTGAAAATGTGTAGCTGAAGCTTCCTAAAACGTATAACATTTATGTAAAGTAAATTTTTTATAAAACAGAATTTATCTTCGCTTTTCTACTTTGTAAAATGAAAAGTGAAGAGTTGAAAAGTACTTTAAAAAAATAGGCCCCTGATCTGGCCAAACGGACATCGAACCTCACAGTTTTTTTTGCGGGGCTGTTGAATTATTTATCGTCATTCTGTGTAAACCCAATTAAATTATATACAGGGTGATTCATTAAGTTATTAACTAAATTTTCGGTAAAATTGGTCGTAAGTGGCGCCCTCTATGAGCAACGCTGAAATTGCAATACGCATCTTATTCGTCGCTTAAAAAAATACAATTTCACAAATTTTCAAGTTCTTAACCTACATATTTTCAGAATAATCGCAAAAAGCGATTTAAAATTTTAACTTTCAACACCCTGTATTTCCGAAACTATCATCTTTCGGATAAGGCATCTTTGCGCTAACGGCCACCATTTTACGTGTAGTATCTTCAGCTTTCGATTTTCCCATTATTAATTAATCACCCTGTACATATGTCAAAAGATTTCTGTTTTAGAACAAATTCGGTGAAATAATCACACTACATCAAACACCAAAGGTTATTATTGTATTTATATAAACTTAATTGGTCTAATTAACCGCAATAATCTTTTTATTGACCGACTATGAAAAGGAATTAGGTAAATTAATCCCACTAAAAAATAACTAATATATTAATCAATAGTATTAATTTATTATTAAAGTGTCATAAATTTGAATCTTTGATAACAATAAAGGATACGAAAAATTATGGATCTGTATTAAGATTAATATGAATGTAATAGTCAAATGTAATTAATTTTAATTTCTTTTAATTAGGTTTTAGCTTTGAATTTTGAAACACAATGTGCATTCGGTTCCAAGATGAGAATAATATTAGTTTTACTGAGTTTTTATTTATTTTTTAAAATTATAAATAATAAACACTTAAAAAGCACCCTTGGAAAGTACCTACAATAAACTAATTGCACAGCAACAGCGTTCATCTACGAAACAACGGTATTTTGCTAAATATCCGCATTTTGTTTATTATTTTTTATATTTAATATATCTCCCTTTTATTATACAAGATAATTCAGAACTTATCGGAAAACTCTATTTTTGACCACTGTACCAGAAGCCAAAAAAAATTAGTAATGTTACGTTCTTCAGGACAATTTTTGTACAATACAGGGTGTTACAATTATAAAAGAAATCAGCATTATTTTTTAATTTTCCTATAGTGACGATTAATTTATAAAGTGTAATTTGCCATGGAATTATACTTTGTCTGGTTTTTATTAGATGTACCAAGTCTGTATCCCTGTTTTGCTGCCATGCTTATGCTCAGTAGATATCAAGTTTTGTTTTTCGGGTCCCGCTTCAAAAAGGCGGTTTTCCACTAAACGGACAAAACAAAAACAAAATACTTGTGTCGAATAAAACAAAACTGTAACTTTTCGCAAACTTTTTGAAGACTGGCGTGTTTTGCGACAGTTGGAGTTTTGTTTTTCAAAAGGTTTCGACGTGTTTTGAAACTCAAGTCTGTTTAGTGGAAACGGTCGTGTTGTGTTTTCTATTTAAGTGATCCAACCCAATATCTATGTTGGCGTTTTCTTCTTCCCAAAAACAATATTTTAATCATTAATGAATTATAGCTATTAAAAAATATATATGTGTACGGTTAAAGTGTTTACTTGGCTAGGATACAAACTAAACAAGTAAACACTTTAACCGTACATATACCACGAACTCCATCGATGGATATCTGGGAATCCGCTCGAAGGATTTTTTTGAAATACGGACTGTGGAGCCTACCAAGCTAAAATATTTTCAAGGTCATCGTATTTCCGGTTATACCGGAAGTTGATACTAACTTTCTTATTTTAAATGGAACCCCCTGTATATTATTATAAAAAAATTAGGGGTTTCCATTTAAAAGTTTCGAGTTTTCCACATATTCTGAACTATATTCGATGAAAAAATTTTGACCACCCTGTATAAAAACTGGAAAATTTTCATGTCAATTTCGATAAAGTAAGTCTTTCTCTACAAAATGTCCAATTTGTACAAAAAAATAAACGGGGAAAACTAAATTTTGCTGACAGTCTGCATCTGTCAATTTTTGTTTAAAAATAGAAATATCTCGGAAACGGTCAATCCTAAATATGGAGTGTGCTATATGTTTTCAACTTAAAAATGGATGATGTTTCCAAAAATGCAATAATATACAGGGGGTTCCATTTAAAATAAGAAAGTTAGTATTGTCTTCCGGTGTAATCGGAAGTACGATGACCTTGAAAATATTTTAACTTGGTGGGCCCCACGCTCCGTATCACACCATCACAATTTCTAAAAAATCATTAGAGCGGTTTCCCAGATATCCATCGATGGAGTTCGAGGTGGAACACTCTGTAGACACACTTTTTCTCCAAGGACTTCAGTATAAACCAGCCATAACTAAGAATAAAAAAAATCTTCTCTAAACATGTTGGCTGGTTATTAGAAAAATGTGTTCTGACTTCCTCGCGACAACCAGTGGAAAAGGACTGAAAACAAAAACAAAACTCGAACAAAATGTAGCCCGCTTGATGGAAACAAGAGTTTTGAGTTTGTTTCAGTTTTGTTTTTGTTTTGTTCTAGAAAACACAAACAGGACATAAACTCAACTGTCCGTTTAGTAGAAAACCGCCATAATGGCGTACAAATGATTTTTCAGAAACTGCTAACAATGACTTTCTTTTTGGTGTCAACAGTCAACGTTATGACAATTTTGCAGAGCTGACCCTTATTATCAACACAAACTATAAACCGAGAATAACATTGTTTTCTAAAACGGTTATATTTTACAATTCCTCAAAGATTAAACCATCATTTACTCAAATCCAAACCTGTGAAACAAGTTTCTCTTTTGTTGACAGTTAGCATCCCTTAGACCTTTCTTAGTTCTAAGGCTATTGATTATAGTTATTGTCATTAGGAATCGTTATAAGAAAAAAATGTTAATTTATTTTTTTTCTATGAGGAATTAGCCCTAAAAGTTTGCTGCTATGTCACTTTAATTACATTTTAGTATTTTAAGATCTAAAAATAAAAACTGTTTTAAGATTTACTTACTACTGTGGTGTATATTTTCAAAAAGAGGCAATCTTCGCTTCCGATAATGTTATCTTCTCCTCCTTGCAGACATTCTGGTTGTTTTTCAAAAACATTTTTGACCCCTTCCCATTTTGCCATTGGAATGGGCGGCTGAAAGATGCAAACACATAAAAGTAAAGTCATAAGGGTTCTGAACTAATTTTCAACCTGTTTTTATTTATAATAGAAAACAACTAACACCTCACCTGGAATCTTAAATTTCCGACTGGTGGCTCAGCAAAGGGAATACCCCTGAACCAATACAGGGGTTTGTTCCCAACATAAGTTCTTTCGCCATAGCCTCCTCTCACCAATCCAGAAGTAGTCTCGACAATTAAATCACTTTCATCCAAGTGAACATCACTGAGGCTTCTAGCGTGAATGTTACTAATACAAATTAGAAAAATAACATTCAGAATTCCTGTCACGATGCTTGTCATTTTACTGCTATTATATTGCTAACCGTTCAGATCAGTCCTTACTTTTATAGCGTTAGTTGCCAAAGATAGGCAAATTCACAGTTTTTTTAGTGTCAGTTAAAGCTACTTGAGACGGAATTATCTCTGTCTTTTAGGTGTCAGATAGAATTATTGTTTATGCAAATGTTTCAAACTGCCTGAGATTATTTATTTAAAAAGTGAAATGACACCCTTCAAAAGTTCTTAACGTTTGGAAGAAAAAAACTTTTTCCTTATCTTAAAACACTAATTAAATAGGCTATTGACTATGTACTTTAGATAGGAACTACAACGTAACATAAATTTTATTGTTTGATATGTTCAATTGACCTTAAAAAATGATAAAACCGCGGAGTGCTACCTTTTAAAGGGGTGCGTTTTTGAGAACGAAGTAAAAAGGTGGTATTTTCAGTTTTTTGAGTTTTACTCGAAAACTATGAATTTTTTCTATATAGTTGTCAGCAGAAACGTTGTAGCAAATTGAATTTCCAATCGAAATGAGACCTTTTGAAGTCAAAAAAAATTATTTTTAACAAAAATATGCCCAAAAAACGAGTAAAAAATCCCGAAAATATGCGTTTTTTTTTCTTTATTGGTTTTTGGCCCACAACTTTTTTCTGAGAGGAGTTAGGTATAGGCATTGCTTACAGAAAAAAAGTTAATGTTTTTTCCTTTAAAATAAGCCTTTATAGAAGTACCTACTACTAATAGAAACCGAGATACATTGGATCAAAGTTTCGTCTTATAACTTTTTTCTGAGTTAATTTAGGTATATGTAATGCCATATTCAAATGAAAGCTGGTTTCAAGACCTTTAAAATGGTGCCTGGTAGAAGTTTGTACAATTAAAATCAACCGAGATATGTCAATTTAACCAACGATACTTTTTCTTATTTTTATAAAATTTTTATTACTTTCGGTATTATTTTGTCTAATAAATTTATTTTTGTGAATGTGAAAGTTAAAATAAGTTTCTAGGTGATTGAATATTATTATTTATTTATTTAAACAACAATTAATCATATTTATCTTGTAAAATTTCGAATTCTTTTAATTATTTTTGTACTTTTAATTAAAAAATTACAATTACAAAAAAATTTTTCAATTTTGTAAATAAGAATTTTTCAAAATTAAAAAATTACCTCGATGTATTTTTACTTGAAAATGCTAGTGTTGAGGATATCACTGCTGCATCTGAATGCATTGTAACTATAATGTATAGTTAAAAAATTGACAGCCTAAAAACTTGTCGATATAAATTATTTCAAAAGTATTCAACAAGTGCAAAATTTACCTTATCTCGATTGCCTTCAACAACTGATGCTCTCAAACATCATGGGTTCAGAGTATATTTTCAGATGCAACAGTGGAATGGTTGTACTTTAAATCCCCTTGATTGGGGTTGGAAAAATTCCATAAATGGGCTAGTTCCCATTTTTAATAATAAATCTCCTGCACCTGAAAATTTACTTGAAAAAATAGCCTGTAAATGTATTAAAGAATGTATGGGAATAAATTGTGAGAATGCTTATGAGCCTGATTTTTCTGAAGAGGACATTGATGAAAATGATGACGACGAAATTGATATTAATATTGAAAATATACTAAATGAAACTGAAAATTTATAAGATATATATGATTAACTGTTGTTTAAATAAATAAATAATAATATCCAATCACCTAGAAACTTATTTTAACTTTCACATTCACAAAAATAAATTTATTAGACAAAATAATACCGAAAGTAATAAAAATTTTATAAAAAGAAAAAAGTATCGTTGGTTAAATTGACATATCTCGGTTGATTTTAATTGTACAAACTTCTACCAGGCACCATTTTAAAGGTCTTGAAACCAGCTTTCATTTGAATATGGCATTACATATACCTAAATTAACTCAGAAAAAAGTTATAAGACGAAAATCGTCAAAAAAGGGCAAAAATTGGCCAAAAATCCAAAAAGTAGCCAACTTTGATCCAATGTATCTCGGTTTCTATTAGTCGTAGGTACTTCTATAAAGGCTTATTTTAAAGGAAAAAACATTAACTTTTTTTTCTGTGAAGCAATGCCTATACCTAACTCCTCTCAGAAAAAAGTTGTGGGCCAAAAACCAAAAAGAAAAAAAAACGCATTTTTTCGGTTTTTTTTACTCGTTTTTTGGGCATATTTTTGTTAAAAATAATTTTTTTTGACTTCAAAAGGTCTCATTTCGATTGGAAATTCAATTTGCTACAACTTTTCTGTTGACAACTATAGTGAAAAAATGCATAGTTTTCGAGTAAAACTCAAAAAACTGAAAATACCACCTTTTTACTTCGTTCTCAAAAACGCACCCCTTTAAAAGGTAGCACTCCGCGGTTTTATCATTTTTTAAGGTCAATTGAACATATCAAACAATAAAATTTATGTTACGTTGTAGTTCCTATCTAAAGTACATAGTCAATAGCCTATTTAATTAGTGTTTTAAGATAAGGAAAAAGTTTTTTTCTTCCAAACGTTAAGAACTTTTGAAGGGTGTCATTTCACTTGTTCACCCGTTTTTTCGGGTTTTTTTACTCGTTTTTTGGGCAAATTTTTGTTAAAAATAAATTTTTTGACTTCAAATGGTCTCATTTCGATTGGAAATTCAATTTGCTACAACTTTTCTGCTGACAACTATATAGAAAAAATTCATAGTTTTCGAGTAAAACTTAAAAAACTGAAAATACCACCTTTTTACTTCATTCTCAAAAACGCACCCCTTTAAAAGGTAGCACTCCACAGTTTTATCATTTTTTAGGTTCAATTGAACATATCAAACAATAAAATTTCTGTTACGTTGTAGTTCCTTTGTGCCCTCTTTTTTTTTGACAAAGTCAATAGCCTAAAAAGGTAAAAGGTGTAATACTGAGGTTTCACGATTGAAATTTCTTCGAAACGAACAACTACCAGTAATTTTTTTTAAACCAATTCTATGAGAGCTCTATGGTTCTTCAAAAATTGGAAGCGAAATACATTTTTTATCAATAACTCAAGAAAAGACAATCGTTATTGTTATAAGTATTGTTATAGCTAATAGCTATAGCTGAAAGTTTACAGTATTATTTAATAATTCAATATGTCTGAAAATATGTCAACAACATACAACAGTCAATTAAGTTACATAACGTTCAAACTGCTCTTTCTTGCGTAACAAATAAAGTCTGTCTATCCACGAAAATATAGGGTGTCACCTAACGAATGTTACATAATTCAAGGATATAATCTAGAACCCAAATGTCGCAAAAAAAGTTACAGGGTGTTAAAGTTTTTTTTTTATTTCTTGTTTTCTCCTTAAATCAGAACCCAGTTAACCGATTTGAGTAAAATTTGCTGTTGCTTAGTTTCTCATCATGAAGTATGCAGTGATTATGTTCCTATTAATCATACATGGCGTTTATTTTACTACAACCTTTTGTGAATGTAAAAAAAGCCAGATCCGTGTAATTTATGGGGCGGTTTTTAGAAAGACTGCGGCTCAATAGTTCTATTGGGCCTTCTAAAAACAACCACGGTCAGACGAGGGTCAAGTAGTATGAGCGTCATATTTGTATTTAGAGGGTGGTCTGAAGAGCTTTTGTCTTGAAGACTAATAAATTTACAAACCGATAATTAGAACAATCCCAAAACACTTCGGGTTAAGCAGGGCCGCGCCGACTATGTGGCGAATGTGTGCAAAACACACAGGCGGCCAAGTCAAGGGGCGGCAAAACAGCTAGACCAGACACTTGACTAACCGTCTCTCTCTTCTCTAACGCCACCGCTGCTCCAAGTGATGATCTTTTTATGACACCGACGCCGACGGCTGACGGCACGTGTTGCTTTGTCGGTACTTGATTCTATTTAGCGGCAGTGGCTAGATATAAAGGGTAAAAAAGTCGGAAACCGTACAAAAGTGAAAATGAATATAAATTTGTGTTGATTTTGCAGAAAGGGTCATTTCAATTTATTCTTTAAACAAGAAACAGTTTCTGTATATTTTCATATTTTCTATTAAGTAGTAGCGTAGTGGAGATTTAAAAGTTTGTGAATTCATTTAATTGTAAAAATGGTAAGTAACTATCAAAGTATTAATACAACCCTGTGACAACACTAATATGATTAATTACCTAATTATCACCTTTGATTTGAATATGAAATTTTCTGTTTAAGGACAGAAAAAGAAAACGACTTAATCCATTGAAATGAAGGCTGAACCTCCATTTTTTCCTCTGTCGATCAAACCTGGGCGCAAATATGTGTTCGACCCTCAGGAATCCGAATCCGCAAAAATTTTTGACCTAGGTGGTCAGGAAAGGGGTCAAAAGGTCAAAAAACCGTAAAAAATAAGGTTTTTCGCAAATATCTCGTAAACTACGGCAAGTAGCAAAAAAATAATTGCACCATCGTGTTCCCAGGGAAATTTTACATCGATTTTATGCTATTGCTTATTGAAATTAAATACATTTATGTCATGTTTTGGACAATTACTAAGCAAGAGAGGGGAAGTGTATATCTCCGGCGGTGAAACGTATTTGGGGAGTAGTAGAGCGCGCACGCTACATGTATCGGCTGACTCGCAGTTGACAGCTCTAGCAGGTGTGCTTCTTTGGAATATAATGCGATTTCAAATATAATTAGCCTGCAGTTGTAGTGGATTTTTTTTTGCTACTTTAATTTTTAAATGAAAAACCAAAAATATTACTAATGATTAATGAATGAACAGAAAAAAATTTTTAGAATGAAATACTTATTGCAAAAATGAAATATACAGGGTGTCCCGAAATTAGGGGGCAATATTTCTACAGGGTGTTCTGTGTCGAAAAAGATTACTTTTTCTTTATATAAACGTGGGTCCAAAAATTCTTCCTAAATTTACCATAACTTTTTTGTGCGTTGACTTTTTTTA